ACTGACTAGTTTTCCCGGGAGCATTTATTTGAAAAGCATTACTTGAAACAGAAAGTAGGAAGACTATATCAATAGAGGAATTAAGGCATTATAAAAGCAATAATCTGTGTTCCACAGTGAATGAAACAAACCAAACTTTAAGTCATACATATTAGAACAAAATAATGGCTGGGAATTGTAGTCCTAGTTTTCTGCACCTTGAGACCTTTCTATTAATAGAATAAATCAATCACACATATGTAAGTATTGCATTGTTTATTTGGGTGAGAAACTAAAAATGTACGTAAGAATCAAAAGGTATACTGGATATTACGAAGTAAGACAAAAATGCTCAGATGGTAAGGACAGCTAGGGTTGGGATGTGGGGGGAAAGAAGGAAGGGAAAAGTAAATAGAAAAGATGAAAAAATAGAAACAATTCTTTTGTGTACAAGAGGGATTGAAGGGAGGGTAGGGGAATGGGAAAAATGAAAAATCAAGATATTTCATGTATGGGTACAAACTGCGTATGACGCATGTGATCAGTATGTATATAAAACATGTACCAGTAAATTATAGACTTTAAAATTTTTTGTATTTATCTTGATAAATTCTAGGTTCCATGTGGTTTTCACCTCTTAGGTTTTTAAGTCTTCTCTCATTATAATGGATACAAACCTGAATCCTCTGCTTCTTTTTGTCTTCATTGTATCTTTTTTTTCTCCTCCTAAAATTTCACAGTGAATGAAAGAAAAGTAAGGAGAGGTAGGAGCAGAAAGAGACTCTAGAAGCCAACTGGTAAAGAGCCTAAGGTTTCTGCTCCCTGCTGCTTCAGATGGTTGTACTTTAACCCCAGAAAGAACGCCTTTCCTTGAAAGTCTCATCTGTGTGTGCCACTGCACTGACATTGGCCAGTAGGCAACACACTGATTGCTAGAGTTCAACTTCACTCCTAAAGCGTATCTGTAAGAACCTACCTGCCTTTCATCTTCCACTACTGGGATTCATACATGACTTGTTCGTTACATTTCACTACACAGCTTTTCATTCCTTTGATTTTAAACTCATGCATTTCAAGAATATTTTAAAGGCCAAGACTATGAGAAGAAGTATGCTAACTAGGCCTGCTATTGCCCTCTGCCATTTTGCTCCAAGCCTGCTAATTGTACTTTTCTGCTTGGCTCCTTCTACACATTGAAACTTACAGGGTTTTCCCAGCTGGGACTCCTACCCAAATACATCTCTGGACTTCATGAATGAAGAATATTTTCTGCATTTTAAAAAACATTATTTATTTATTTATTTATTTATTCATATAGTATAGCTCGGACTCATAGTGACCCTCTGTCTCTGCCTCTGCAGCACTGGGATTACAAATGTGTGCCATCATGCCTGATTTTGGTGGCCAGCACAGTAAGCCTGGGACTAGGGCTGGCACAGCTGCTGGTTTGTGGTACTAGAGATCAAACCCGGGTCCTTGAGCTTGCCACGCAGGCGCTTAGATCACTGAACTATCTCTCCAGCTCCATTTTTTGGATTTTTAAAACTTATAATTGTAAAAATTGCAACATGCCTAAAATGAACTAAATATTTACAATCTCAATATTACAGAAAATATATGCCATTTCCTAGCCATGAATATTGCATCCCAAGGGTTTGTTATTATGTTTATGTAAAAGTTTATTAAGAAGACATACCAACTAACTTATACTTTTAGGTAAAATTGTGGCAATAAAGATTTTAGGTTATTTTGTCTAATGTATTCTTCCAAGGAAGGTTCTATACAATCTTACAATTTTTAATATCTTAAACTGTTTTCCATATAACATTATACAATCTATAGTAGTGCAAATGATTTCCTTCCATACACACATGGGATAACTCTATCTGGGGACAGAGGAACTTAATTCCCTACCATCATGGAAGATTTGGCTTTCCATCTGCTAATGTCTTTTATTTTAGACTTCCTCAGTCCCAGAAATTTTATTATGGACATTATCCATGATCTGGCTACAATATATATCTTGCTGATTCCTTCACTGAAAAATGAGTCAAATGAAGTAGTTGGCATGTGTTCCTTTTGCTTGTATAGTGTTACAATTCTAACCTTAATTGTGTTATATAGATAAATTACTGTGCTAATATATTTTATAAATCATAACATAGACATTCAAAACTTAGGAGGCAAAGATGAAACATTTTTAGTTTCTGTATATATTGCAATATGACATGCGCACATTATTCTTTATACCACTACAGTTTTATATGGAATTATTTACCTTAACGTTGTAAAAGAACACTAAGAAAATTTTCTAACAAACAGTTCATACTACTGAATTTAGTTTTTGAATGCACTGTAAGGGTTTCATAAAAATGGAATCTTCTCAATAATTCTAATAGATCTTTTTATGTCTCATATTCCCTAACTGACGTATCTTACATCCTGACATTTTGATATAACTAGATTTTTTTCCTTTGGCTGGCTCGGGCTGCCTTAAGGGTGAGTCTGGTAAGACAAGTGGCGATGGGGATCAAACCATGGTATCCTGTGCCTGACTGCACTTGCATAAGCAGTCACTTAACCAACTGAGCTAACCAGCAGGCCCCTGATATAACTAGAAAGGTCTGAAAGTTAAGTAGAATGCACTTCGTCTTCATCTGTGTTCCCATTCCACTTACTTCATTCTGGAGAATCAACTCAACATGGTATTGATTGTAAGTTGCATGTGAATCTGCCCCTGTCGGCTCCAAGCCCACGTCCCAAAGGATCGATTAGTCCTCATCTTCCCATTATTAGCATGGGGAGTAGTTATAGTTGGAAAACGACATAAAGGTATGCTTGCCCTAAATAAGTCAAATAGAAAACTGTATTTTCATAATCAAATTGCATTTCATCCTTGAGACAGTTCTGTTCAGAACTGGGGAAAAATTTCTCTATGGATCTCTGAGTTGCATATATTTCAAAACAAAATACAGCTTTAGAACAGGTGACAAATCTATGCAATACAAAATTAGGGTCACTGTATATGGCATTTAACTTCAGACATATTGTCAAGCCATGAAGTACTAATGCATTTTCATCTTGAATTTGCAATTCATCCTAAAATTCCTAAAAGAATTAGGAAAGTTGATACTGAATTAATTTTTTGTCCATTTAGCTCTTAGAGTTTGTATAAATATGAACAATTTATATAATTCACAACTATGAAATTATCAGTTGCTTTCAAAGTTTTTAAAATAGGTTGAATAAAAGAATTATACACTCACATACTTCTGATATTTTAATGGAAGAATTTGGAAATAATGTGTATACATATATACTATAGAAAATTTATAGTAAAACAAATTATAACTTTAGGTCTATCACTACAAGTATACTTAAACCTCTGCAAATTATTTATTTACATATTAAATCCATTTATTCCAATCAGCAACTGTTTAAATCAGTGTGCAAGCTGTATACCCATTGATTTGATGTTCCTTAATGGGTACTCACTGCACTGTTTTATTACTGATTATCACATCCCAAAGGATTATGACAATAACATAATTTTATTTATTTATTTATTTATTTATTTATTTATTTATTTATTTATTTATTTTGGTTCCTCGAATGCCTTCAGGGCACTTTTGGCCAGTGGGAGAGTTGTGAGGTTCGAACTCCAGCAACCTGAGGCTGAGAGCTTTGTGGAAGCAGCCACTTAAAGGCCTGAGCTAGGGCCAGGCCCCCAACAATGACATAATTTTAAACATATAAAACAATTTTATATTCTTAAGACTTTACTCAAGTTCTTTGAAGTATGTTCCTCTCCACAAAGAATTTTCATTCTAAGATTACAGTGAAACATTTAAAATATTCTATGCCCTTTAAGAAAGTCAAATAGTTTTTTTTTTCCTTAACAAGAGACCTTAGCACCCACTTATCCCAAAAAGATAGGTCAACCAGACAAAAAATTAGCAAAGAAATAACAGAACTGAACCAGAGCTTGAAACAAATGGACTTGGTGGACATATACAGAGTGTTCCACCCAAACACAGCTGAATACACATTTTCCTCAGCTGCACATGGGTCATTTTCTAAAATCGACCACACGCTGATCCATAGGTCATGCTTAAGTATATGCAAGAAAACAGAAATTATCCCATGCACATTATCTGACCACAGTGCAATGAAACTGAAAATAAATGACAAAATAAACCAGAAAAAAAAATCCCTAAATACATGCAAATTGTTTATCTAAAAAATGAAAATTTTTCCCATCAACAGACCCATCTATACTGACTTAAAGAGAAAATACCAAAACAACCTAAATTTACCAAAGCTATTTTTTCAAATTTAATCTTGTTTTTTACATTTTTCTTACAATTATAACAGTGCTTTTAAAAGAAATGATTCTGAGACAATAAGGGAATCAGAGGGATTAAAGCACCTGCAAACAGGCACAGGGACCAGGGCTCGATCCCTGGCCCTTTTTTTCTGGTCCCGCCCCCAGGGTGGGCTGAGACGGCAATTGAGATTGGGAGTGGTGGTGCACCCCTGTAATTCCAGCTCTTGGGAGGCCGTAAACAGGCGGATCACTATGAGTCTTATCTAGTAGTGAGACACTGAACACTCTGTAACCCCTTCCTTAAAATACAAAAAAAAGGGGAATCAAAGAACAGCAAGTCCCAGGTAAATTTAAATGTTTATACAAATACTTATCATGGTTACCAATAAATGCTGATGTAGAGAAGTAGATAGGGCTGGAGAGATGGCTCAGTGGTCTAAAGCACCTACTTAGAACAAGCTTGGCAAGGCATCAGGGACCGCGGTTCAATCCCCCAGCACCACATGCCAGCCGGCCCCGCCCCCTGGTGGGCTGAGCGGGCCACACACACACCACACACACACACACTCTCTCTCTCTCTCTCTCTCTCTCTCAAATAATAAATAAAAAGAGAAGTAGATAAACACATTTATTGGAAATAAGATAATAATTTGAAAAATGCTAACACAAGGTTATAATGAAAAACAGAGCAAAACAAGATTCATCTTTTCTTCTTTTGTTAATTCTCACATTTTCATCCAAAATTTGTTACACTATATTTCAGAAACATGAGCAACATTATTTTATTACAACAGCAAAAAGCTTTCAGACATTAGCACAAAGAGAAACATTCAGATATGAAGGCGGACAAGGGCGAAAGCAGCTTCCACCTAGGCATCTGAGGAAAGCAGGCAGTAAGAGAACAGGTGCTTCCAAGAGCACCACGCCTTGCTCTTGTCCTGAGGTTCGACTTGTGATGCCTTGAAATCAGGATCTTGGATATTTGTACTTAATCGGTTTTGTCTGCCCAGGAGCTCCTCCATTTCTTTCAACTGGACTTTCAGTCTTCTATTTTCGCTCTCCAGTTCTTGCTTCTCTGTTTCAAGTAATTTTATGTTGTCCCACCCTGAGGTATTTTCAGCTTGCAGTCTCTCTAGCTAAATACAGAAAACACAAATAAGTAGAACATAATATCTGCAATTGTCAAAAGAAGTACACAGCAAACAGGTCTTCACAAAGAAGCTCCACTAATATTCTCATTTACAGAATTTTTTTTAGATTCTGTTTCTTTGAAAATTTGAGAGCAGAAATGTTCTAAAAAAAGAAAATCCCTCAGATAAATATACTTATCCTTTGGTTCATATTAATATAAGCATTTGGTCCATCTTTATTGAATGTGTATCACTGGAGAAAAGATGAATTATTTTCAACAATTTTCATTCTGTATTAATGTGTATTTATAAGTCAAGAAGATATAAAGTCATTTGGGGGGAATTTTCATTGCTTGTATTTTATTTACATTTTTATATGCAAGCCTTATCCTAAGATTGTTTTACTTTATATTAATTACGAAAAAATTAAGCAAGGAATATGGTGAATTATGTGTTAGTAGAAGGAGAGCATATTTTTAACACTTGCAAAATATGTAGGAAGAAAAATGACAATAATTTCTCACATTTTGACAGCAAAACTGTTAAAAGTGAATACAGCAAGTTATTCATATGTTTATTAATTCATTTATCTGATGGAAGAAAACAAATACACAAATATATATCTTTCAAGTTCCAAGCTTGGCACTTCAGATAAAAAAGAAGAAAATGTAACAAACAATAAATATTATAAATTAATAACATTCTATGATTCCATTACTACAAACTGTAATCAAAAGCATGGAAGTGAGTAGCTAATTTGATTTTCAGGAATTAGAGGTTAGCAAACTAAGGTTCCTGGGAAGAAATCGGTCCATTTATTTTAACATTTTCTGCAATAAGGGGGTTTTATTATTAATGGTTGGAAAATATCAGTGAGTGCTAAGTTATAGTTAGAAAGGATCAAGAATGTCTGATGTTTAATTGCACAGTAGGATGACTGTAGATATCGACGCTCTACTGTATGTCTTAAAAACCTGTAAGGATTTTAAAATGATAAATGTTTGATGATATATACTTAGTATAATTTAAACGTTACACAATGTATGCATGTATCAACGCATCTTATTTTACCATATGATTACATATAATAATGAACTAACATCAGCTAAAGAATTAACAAAAATATGAGAGAATAGAAGCTCATAGCAATGGGGAAGAAGATGAACTTCAATGCATTGTTGATATTATGATTATGATTATGATTATGATTATTATGATTATGCAAAGCAATGCAGAGGTTACTCAAAAGCACATAATAAAGACACATTCCAGTGATCTCACTCCCGGATTATATAACGAAAGGGAAAGAAACACTGTGTTGAAGAAGGAGCTACACTACTGTGCTTACTACAGCACTATGGAGAACAGCCAGCAATGGAAGCACCAGAGCGATCCTTTGACAAGTGAATGTGTAATATAAACAGTTAATAGAGGGCAATAGAAACTAGGAAGTGGATGGGACAGAGAGAGAGTGGAGAGTGGGAACCAGAGACCAGTTAGTGGGAAAGACGTAGTCCTAATATTCTACAGAATATTATAGAACAATATTCTACAATTACTTGTATTTTGTAAAACAACTACAGCCACAAAGTTTGAAAGCTCTCAACACATGGAAATAATATTTGAGGACATGGGAACATGAATTATCCTGATTTAATTATAAATATTATAAGTCTGTCTGATATTATGATTCTGTACACTATAAGTAAATACAATACAAGTTATATGTCAATAAAAGTAAATATTTTTAAAAATCACTATCTTTTTTGTTCTAAAATTTAATCCTGGACGCTATTTGAATCTTGACATTTTTATCTCAAAATAAGCTTAGTCTGGTAATTTCATCTCCCTTAGGTAGGCAATTTCTTCTTTAATCTGACAGTTTGTGACAAGTGAAAGTATTCATCTTTATTGGAAATCACTCTGCACATTAATGTATTACATAGAGGGAAATGCAATATAATTTCAGAAAAAATGTATGTAGTTCATATTTACACACATATACACATGTACATATATCCAATTGTCAAAGAACTTCATTGAATGAATCTGTCTAGAGAAGAAACCTTTCATAATATAAAGAGTTAAAATTTCATCCAGATCCTTCCATTTACTTATTGGCTGATTCTGAATAACACTTATTTTTTGTGGTATTGTTTGCTTAGTAGTAAAACACACAAGAAAATATCAGCCCAATCAAATCTACGGTACCATAGAGGCTTAAATAGATCTACATTCAGAATTTTCTGTAGGCTATGTAAGATGATTAATATATGAGGTATTTCAAATCCAGTTGGTAATAAAAATTATAAATGACTTGTTTTACACAGGTAACTTAAATGATTTAAATATACTCTATGGTTATATAGTATTATACTATTAAAAAACATGCTTCCATAATGTGTTAAATTTTAAAGGAAGAATCAACTTAGGTCAACATTTATTTTATATTTAATAATTTCATTTAAACTGAGTTTTGACATAAAAACCTAAAAACTGCTTTTTCATGCCCATGTATTGTGTCATTAATCCAGAAAATGTTCTGATCTCAAATGAAGAGATTCCCTGATTCCTTTAAAAAAGAAATCAAAATTGCACTCTTGGCACTAGACTTCATTTATCAATTAAATATAATGAACTATGGATCACATTGTAGATGATGTGATTTGACATTTGAGGTGTCCATTTGGTAATATGAGCTAAATTCACAATTCAATTTAGAACATATTACTCTAATTATTAAGATTAATGCTTAAATTTACTAGCTATCATTGTATCATTTATCAGAATAAATATAATAAAGCTGTAACAAAAACAGTGAACAACTTAATGATGAAAAATTAATGTTATGAAATTGAATGTATTATTGGTTAAGGGGAAATACAATGTTATTTGTGAAGGCTTTGTAATAATTATAGGCATTTAAAAGAATTTAGAAAAACAATTAAATTTATTTAACACTTAGTAATAAAAGTGTAACTAAGATTATTGATAAGTAACAGATAATCTAAATAAATACTCTAAATCTTAAAAATGTAATGAGAAAAGATTGCAATAGAAGTAGCAACAAAACTTAAATAACAGCATCAAATATTTTACTAGCTGTACATTTATTAAAATATAACAATTATTTGATAAATAAATATTCATGATACTCATCAAAAATTACATGTCCTGTAAAAATTAAAAAATAAGAATATAGGTAATTTTATGTTGGGTTATTTTCCCCAAGAATTGCACAAAAATCATCTACCTTTAAAAGACATTCACCTGAATGCAAGTTAAAATAATTAAAAGAATAAGGTCCTACTTCAGGTTTTCAGAGTTTGTTGTAAAATTTCTAATAATCTTTTCAAATTAAAATAAATTTCTTTAATTTGCTTCTAATGGTCAAAAGAAAATAAATATATAGAATCAAACATAAATACACAATGGATTTTGATATAGTGTGATCCAATGTTAAAAAATTCTAGATTATGCAGAAATTAATGAAAAATGTTTGCTGAAATTTTTAATGTAAAAATTCTTATTAACATAAGTCCTAAAATATTTTGTTTCATGGCTTTTATGCTATACATAGTAAACATTGACAAAAACTCATAAATATCCAATACTTCTTTTATTTAACAAATATATTTGAGTCTCTTCTGCATGCCAAAAACAAAAAATATGCATTATTTTTCATGAAGGGAAAGAAATCGTGAGTACTATGATAATAGCTGCTGCTGCGATGAGAGAGAGAGAGAGAGACAGAGAGAGAGAGAGAGAGAGAGAGAGAGTTGTGTGTGTGTGATAACTGGGCCTTAACTTGGGGTCTGATTTCATGCTAGACTGCTAAGCTATATCTAGGGACTTTTAAATTCATTTTGAGAGCAGATCTCATGAAATTGCCAAGACTAACCCCAAATTCTTAATCCTCCTGCTCTATCCAAGTGCTGGGATTATTTGCTGGCAGTATCATACCTTACAGAGGGAACATTTTATGGTTAACTGACACCTACAGAACTTCTCCCTGCATTTACTTTGAGTTTCTCACTGCTCCTGCCCTAGTTGCATTGCCATTTTTGGCAAATGAATGCAGTGAGGTTAAGAGAAGATTGTTGGTCAATTTACAGTTGAGTCACAATTTTCCCTTCTTAAAAATGCAGTGAAACTCTTTTTGGACTTTTAGCTAAGATCAAGTATAAATCTAAAATAAGGAAAAAATTCTCTGCAGTGCAGACTTATGAGGAATACATTAATTTTCTTAGTGAATGTACCAAACCCTCAAGTTCACCATAAATGTTCAAGTCATAAATTTGTTTTCTAAGGAACAGAACATATCAAGAGCTAAATAAAATACTGACAGATCAATTAGTGCTTTAATTTTTTTCATTAAGCTTATTCAATATCAACTGAGAAAAATCCCAAGAGAGTGCAATGTGTGACATTTTGCAGGCCAAAAAAGTCAACTAGAACAAATGTGATTGCTTCAATTAGAGATGTGAAAATGTACAGAATTTTCACACTAAACAAGACAACTATTACACTTCATTGTACATCCTGTGATCTTAGAAGAAAGAAGCAGAAGGAGAAATTAGCTTCTTTTCTGGCTGTAAGATACCCTTAACTACAGGGATTAAAGCAGAAAAGTAAATACTTATTTGTTATTTTAATACAATTCTGTAAATTTCTACATGCTGCGTATGAGGGACTTGGGGGTACCAAAAAGCAGAAGTTTTCAAGGTGGACAAGAAGACCTGTCTGTGGCTCATCTGGGCTTCTCCAGCTCCTATTCTGAGTTTAGTTTCCCCGTGCCACACACCCATGTCAGCAGGAAATGTGCTCACAAGCTCTCGTAACAGTGACGATCGTTTTCTGAATTCATGACATTGCACTTCAGCAAAACGTTGCTGTGTTTTGCTTTGGTTTTCATAAAGTCTGAAGTTCTTTCTCTTTATTCTGTCTCTTTATAAGAACTAACAATTCGGAACAGCAGCAGCTTTCCTGAATCACATTTAAAAATC